CTTCCCACTGGGAGGTCCACCTAGTCTAAAGATGCAACAAAAAGAAAAACATCAGATCATCTCAGAACCTTCACAGGGTCTCATCCCTATATCACTAAGAGTTTCCAGGTTCCCAGGACTAGTCAAGAAAACCTTATATGACCCAGAAGAACCTAAAGAAATAAGGGAAGTTGTCCAGGGTATTGAGGAGACACTGTTCTCATAACTGACTACTCTATCATCCTGACAGTCAACCTGAGTAAAAGATTAAAATTTCAAGCAATCAATTACAAAGAACGCTTGATTTCAGTACAACCAGAATAAAATAATAAGGGAGGCACCAGTGCCATTACAGAAAAGGCACTGAACTTAGAGTTAGTAACGCTCTTATCAAGGCTCAAAGCCTGTCTCTTGTACTTATTAGCAGTGTGACGACCTTCCTGGTTGTTCATGATGTACATTTGGGATTAACTTGCCTGCCTGCTTCTACAGGGTTAGGTCTCCCTACATTCTACCCTTTGATCCATCCAAGCATCCAACCTGCACTGAGTACTCAACTATGCACAAGGCCCGTGGAAATGTAAAGATGGACAAGCTATGAACCCTGCCCTCAAGGAGCTTAAAGACCAATTGGGGACACAGATATGTAAATAAGGTCAGGCAATGAAATGCCACAAAAAAAAATATGTATTGGAGCACAGAGGGCTGAGGTTAAGTGGGGATCCTATGGTGGGAGGGAAACAGGAGAGGTTTCAGAAAAGGTGGGGATTGAGCTAAGTCAGAAAAGATGAGTAGATGTCTACTAGGCACTCAACACGTTTTTGATGGATAAAAGGGGGAGGGGAGACTCATAAGATTTAATAGAGCATTGTTTTGAGGAATAAAGTAAATAATGCATGTAAAGTACTTAGCACAGTACCTGGCCTATATTTGGTACTCACTTATTAGTATCAATATTACTACTAATGTGGGGAAAAGAGTTAACAAAATAGGCCTAAGGGACAGCTATCCTGAGAAAGGCCTACTTAGGTTGGCCCTTGGCTGGCATCTGGGAACTTGGTCTTTGGGAGGGTCCTACCATTCCCAGAACTAAGAAGAATAGCTCATTGTGCCCAAACTGTTTGGCAAAAACTATATGCTTTATGCCGAACACCTGCTTTCCTTCTGGAATCTGGATTTGGGTGCATGCCAGACGGGGGTACCCACATGATCAACCTCCAACAAAAGCCTTGGGCACTGAGTCTCCAGCGAGCTTCCCTGGTAGACAACATTTCACAACATTTCACAATCAGACACTCGAGGAATCATGGGCACTCTTTGTGACTCCACTGAGAAAGGCCGTTTGCAGGCTTGTGCCCGGTTTCCTCCAGATCTGCCCACTTGCCTTTCCCGTTGGCTCATCTTGCTTTGCCTCCATCCACTGCACTGAATGAGAGCTGCAAGCTCGGCTGTGTGCCTGTGAGCCACCGCAGCTAGGGGTGGCTGTGGGGATCCCTGACACGATGAGTCTCCCGGCTCTTCAACTTCATCAACTAGTTCTCAGTTTCCATACTAGAGCAGCTACAGACAACGAACCAACCAATGAGTGGCACCCAAGTCCATTTATAAAAAGTTCCTGATTTCTTAGTTAACGATAATTGCAGACTTACGAACTACTTGAAATTTTTTTTATTCAGCATCTGAACATATACAAATCTCTCTACTTCTTTTTTTCTCATCGTTATTTAAAAGGCCTTTTTCCTGATTAAATACCAGCCCTGCTCTTCCCTGCCCTCCATCTCAGTACCTCATAGAGCCACCACTGAAATGTCAGGTGGTCTGACGCAGCATCATTATCTCCCTGACCAGAAAGCAAGATTGCTTAGGAAACCCAGAGTCTTTTGTTCTATGTTAAAATCATGAGTACAATCAAACAATATAAACTGCCAGGAAGATCTCTTACCAATTCTCTAGAATATGCATAAATATGAGTTAACTGAGAGCAATCAGAGCAACGAGGACAAGCCAAAGAATGGTCCACAGCAGAAACTGAAACACAAGCATGCCAGTATCAGACATGGAAGAAATGGCTAGCCTAAATTTCTTAGCATCTAGAACAGAATTTCTTAGCGTACTTCAAAAAGCCCAATAAACCTCACTTAATAAGAAGATTTTCAATAAAAGCTTATTGCCATTGTGTTGTGGGAGCTAGGGTTCAGGGAACCAGGAGAGGACAGATGTCTGGCTCACATGATTAACTGAGAGTTTTAATGAAGCATTAGTGGCATTTAATTGCCATGCAGCATAGGTACTACCTCAATTAACAGCCTACACAGTTTTTGTTTGTTTTTTTTTTGTAGAACTATGAACAACTAAAGCAAATTATCTCCAGGGCTATGTATTTTAATCCCTGAATGGCCCCCATGGTTTTTCTAATCCACTTTTGGAGTTTTACATCTATAACAAAATATTATTTTTAAAATATGTGTTGATTTTCATGGGTTACCAATGTCACAGCCCATTTGGGACTCACAGCTTCTAGGGCTTGAGAGAAGGAAACCAGAACATTTATCAGTGGAAAACAGGGAACTGAGCACATTAACCCAAACAAGGAAGAAACACAACAAGCAGGTGCTACAGCGTTTAGCTAGAAGCCAGGCAAAACATTGTCATGCAGGAATTCAGCCCAGTGTTGCCAGAATTTTTTTTTTAAGAATTGAGATCCTTACCTTAAAATTCCTAACTTTTTTTTTTAATAATTAAATCTTTATATTAAAAAAAATAGGTCAGCTGATGTCTGTAAACACATGGGATGAGAACATGAAAAGCCACGAAGGAAAGAGAAATGGTGACATTACCTAAACAAACTGCTATACAATATGCATCCTACGGAATTAACTGAAATCATCTTGGACCCTCCCACTATGGCCTTAAAGCCAAGTCAACCAAAGTAATAAATGTCTGACACTGGCTCAAAGTTAACCCTACACAGTCATTCTCTCTTTCTCTTGAAACATGGCTAGAAATGATGAAGTTGTTGGCCTAATTCTGAATATCTGAAAAATGCTTTTAGTTGAGGTTACTACAACTAGAACTTGAAAAATAGTACAGAAAAATAGGAAAGACAAAATAAAAGTCAGGATTAGAAGCAGAAATACTTTAAGTCATCTAATTTGTATTACAAAGATTTTCTCTTTGAAATTCCACACCTAATGGAATACTGAAATAAAAGCTTTTGCAAAACCAGAATTTCTAATTACCAACTTTCTCACTTTTTAATATGGGCATCTATTTATTTTTAACTGAGAGACAAACACATCTGTGACCCTGTTTCAAGCTGAAGGTCATAAGTATGCTAACGAAACACCAGTCCCTCAGAAAAAAGTCCAGGAGGGATCAAAATGCCCAGCTGAAAGGAGATGAATGTTGACGCTAAGTGTCAGAGGATAGGTTTACCCCTGTTGTGACAACCTCCTCATTCTGTCCTTTCTGGTTCTCATGGTGGCTGAGGCTGCTCATTGGCAAGAAAGTGGGTCAGATACTATAAAGTAAGAGGGATTCTACTGTTCTTTTTATTCTGCTTAGGCTAAAACAATTAGAGCACTTTAAAGTTTGTATATTTATCATCTTCAAAGTGACTTAACAATTGTGCGTATTTTGATAGTATCAGTTCATATTTCTAAGCAGTAATGTAGGTTTCTGAAGCTTTTTTGGTTACTGAAGTACCACATTTTACCATTTTCACTGTTATATTTCTATTATTTTCTTAGATGTATTCTATTAGATTCAAATTTTAACAAACCATTTGCATAGAGCAAAAATTTGTTAATGTGTCCCCTTAAAAATCTATTTTAGATGTTTGAATAACTCATATCTGAAACCCTTTTGGAATTCTGAATTGTTCAGATTTAATAAATGGAATACAGTACCATTTATATGTGCCATTTATTACCTAACACACCCAGCAGATACTGGGACAACCCCACATACTTAAACACATTATTATTTCTGCACACACACAAATGCAAAAAAAATTCATACTACTTGCGTAGGCTAAATAAAGACAAAAGATAGCTTCACCTTAGGTCAGGCTTTGCAACTAAAACAGTTTTTGAAGTTTGGGTCTTCAGCATTAGGGGGACTTAGGAAAAGTGGATAAAGTACTCAATCTTAAATTACATGAACCTGCAGAATTCCACAGGTCGCAATGACAAGCCACAGCAGAAATTCACAGAGTTGAGGACCACCAGTGAGTGACAGTGCCACTCTCTCTGAACTGGGGGAACGAAAACACAGAGAAATCAGTGGGAGTAAAAAAACAAAAACAAAAACAAATAAATCAATTTCTGAGGAAGGCACTTAAAAGAAAAAAGTAGGATTAAATCAAATAAAAACAAACATTAAGATCACCCACAATCCAGTGTAAGCAACTAGACAAGAGTACGCAGTCAGCAGGGGCAACCCAGCCTCCAGCCGTTCCCTGGAACCCGGGAATGTTGCTAGCCAGGAGAAGCTTGGCTGGATCTGCAGTACCATATGATGCAGTCCCAACATATTAGGAGGAAAAACGGCAGGCCTTAGGTGACTATGCATTCATGCACCTCCCCAAGAGGTAGAACCAGAAGCTAAATCAACCGAAAAGTCAGGAGGTGGCTGCCAACTTGCCCTCCTTATGCCACATGCTCACTGACCAGGTTTGGTGACCTGCTCCCATCAAAGGAACTTTGTAGCAGCTGCTTATCACAAAAAAAAAAAGTTGAACAGTTCTGCCTTAAGTCAACTTCAGTAATGTGTTGGGTACATCAAATCACTAACCAGTTTTAATTAATTTCCACTTACAATGAACAACAAAGAAATATTCATATAAAGTGATCGACATAGTAGACAGTTCATATGTGCTGAAGAATTTGATACTTAATATGGTAATTTAACTTCATTAACCTAAAGCTTATTCCATAAAATTTGGGGGTGGGGATGGGGAGACAGTATTATAAAATAGTACCAACACAGAAGCAGCAAAGGACATTTTGATTGTCTCCTACCTCTGCTCGACCCTCATAGTAGGTTAGCATGGACTCTGTTAACACAAAAAGTCTCTCCTTGTAGTTTAAGGGTGATGTCTTCTTTTTCTGCTGTGACCTTTTAATAAGAATCTCTTCTAGAATAGTGTTCAAATTCATCTCGGTCTTCTGATCACTCCTTCTCCTGCCATTGAAGATCCCAATATTCTAAAGTAAGAAAATTAACAGTTGAAATAAAATGTGACATTTTAATTTTCCAAGGATGTTGTCATTCCAAATTGCCAAACTAGATTTCACCCTCTCCACAGCGGGAGCTGATGAATGTTACTCCATACACCTGGACTGAAACCTCCCAGGGCACAAAACTCATCCCCTTCTCCCTCCCCAATGTCATCCTGTCCCTCCGTATGCTGGCACTTCATAAGAAAATCTCATCAGGGGATGCCATGATGATGACTCACTCCCCAGCACCCCTCAGCTTTCTGCTTGAAAGCACTCTTTTGCTATCTAATTGCAGGAAAATGAGTATCTCAGATGGAAAAGGATATTTTATCACCTGCATGGCTGGTTTAGGCTGGTACTTAAATTGCCTCAGGATCCTGGTACACAAAATGGACAAGCACACAGATGTGGTAGACTTATGAGCTAGAGGAATTACCATAGCGGTGGAAACAGCTCACTCTCCAGCTGTGATAAGGACGTAATCTTGATCAAACACCCTCGTCACCAGAGCCACGAGGATGTTCTCTGATGTCTACACTCACATGCTTCACAGCTCTCTTCCCTCCAGTTCCTGTGTCAGCCACAAGAGAAAGGGAAATCCACCAGTCACCGCCAGCCTACTCAGGGCAGAGCCATCCGGATAAGGCCCTCAGCCCTATAGATCTGGAACCCCACATCCAAACTACCCACCCCTAGACTAAGCCTTCTAAAATTCAACAGAATTCAACTATCTGAAAGTTCAAAGAAATGCAGAAAAGGCCTAAAGAGTATTTGAGACAAGTTGAATTGACAGTAGCCCTATCTGCCCCTCCCTTCACCACACCTTTATAAAAAGTCATTGCATATCAAACCTGAGAGGCAATGGAAGTCACATGAACAATAAGGGGTTACCTGACAGCACAGCCAGAGACTTGACACTGAGGGGGCCACTGAGGAATTCTACCACGTTCACACCCAACCTGAAACCTCAAAGCTCCCTTTCAATTCCACATGACTGATATGTCATCATCCAGTCGGGCCCCCCATTTTCTATGAAGTTACTTTACAACAGCTTAGCCTGTGTCTGTCAGTTCCTTCATTTATAATATATGGAGGTAAATACCACAGGTTATCGTGAGATTTAATGAGATGTGGGACAGAACTTACATATTACAACATTATATAATGATTTATTATTGTTATTTTTTAATTCTTTTTCCCAACTCAGAGCATTACAATCTGGAACATGATAGTAGCTTTCCAAATGACCTTCCTTTCCCCAGGCTCTTGCCTCATTTTATTGAAAGATAGACCCTCACTCCCATTGGAGCCACTTCAAAGATACTACTTTCTTCACACCATTTCATTCATTAGCAATCCCGAGGGCCTCCTCAAAGCCTCTCTGCCCCCTGCAGGATAGCATCAAGCTACTCAGTTCGACCCTGGAGACAGTCCACAATCTGGCTGCAGCCTAAATCTGACCTTTACTTCCATTTTTCACTCCCGAAACACAGTCAAAATAGTTGGTGTTCAATCTCTGGCCCAGGGAGTCCCCTCTCATCACCCATAAAAACTCTACTGGCTCAAAACAGCTCTTCCATGAAGCCTGTACTGATGGCTCCAATTAATTAAAAACCTTCCAATCTCACACCCTGATCTCTGATCACTCATCACAGAGTTCGTCATAGTTTTCCATGTTCTACAGCAGCTGATAGACATATTCTAATTCACCGAGGTCTTTCAGCCCTGAAAAATACAGATCCCAATCTTTACGCGCACTTTAGATTCACGTAGGGAAACTTTTTTAGATACAGATGTCCAGGATCTATACCCAGATATTTTTATTCAGTTCATCTCAGGTGGGGCCCAGGGCATCATGATTTAATGTGTAGGTAGATTTGAGAGCCACTATCTTAAGGGACTGGGCTCTTAACACTAATTGTTTATACCACTCTCAATGTTTATGCAGACTCTCAATAAGCAGCTGAAAAAAGGACCCAATCAACCCATTAGCTATCCTAAACTGACAAGTCTGGGAAAAGCTCTTGATTTTTTTGCATCTAAATTGGTCTTCCTTATTTCAAATTAAAATTTTGGTACTCTCATTTTTTTCCTGAGAAACTGTCAACCCATCACTTCTCTGGAAATCATCTTTTTATCTTTGTGCAACACATTTTCAAGGCAAGATGAATATGACGATTTGCAAGAACGGATTATAAAAGAGAAACAATCTATGCCCTGGAAAACAGGACATATGCAAATGTGTAATTCCTAGCCAGGAGGATAAGGGCGTGTGGCTCATCTGCAGTTCTAAAACCACGAGGTCTCAACAGCAGAGCAAGGGAGAGCATTTCATGTTGAATTCATCAGAAAATAAAATCCCCTTATCTGATTTATAGAAGAGATTAATAGTTTACAGAGAAGCATACCATCTGAGTTGAAAGGAATGTTAGACATCATCTGTTTCACTTATTATACAAATTAAGAGGCTGAGGTTTAGAAAAGTTTAGTGACTTGCCCAAAGTCACAAGCCAACACTAGAAGGGAAGTGCCCTGGTTCCAAGTGCAGGCTCCACCACTCCATGCCACATGATTAAAAGTTAGCTGTTATTTTAATAATTCACTTGTCAAAGGGAAATCCTGCCCAAATTAAACTATTAAAATTCACAGAGCTACTAAGACAACTTCTCTTTATGTAGACTTCCAGCTAAAGACAGAGGGTTCAATGTTTACATTGGCATTGGTTCCTTCCTGAAATCCCATTAAATCAGTTTTTGTGTTGCTGGTGTTGTCATTAAGTATTAACTCTCAAGCAAACAGAAGACAAGAGAAGAGAGACAAATTTTGGGAAACTTAAAAGCAAATAAGCAAGTGGTAGTTCCCACAAGGAGGAAGCCTGGTAACTTCCAATTCATGCAGCAAAACCTCTAAACAGCTCAAGAAATCAGTAGCTCCTGGTATCTCTAAAAGTGGTGGTCAAGGACTTAGAGCAAAAAAGAATTGTTTGCATGTCTAAGAAACAGACTCTCCAAATCCTCTCTCCCATGCCCTATAGCTAGGTGACTAACTCTCCCCAACCCTGGGAGAAAACTCGAGGTTTTTTAAAGGCTATAAAACAAAGGGTGTCTATACTGGGAGAAGCTGCAAACAGTTGAGGCTAGGAGTGCCATACTGCAAAGGGAGGCTTGAGAAAAACTGCACAAGTATATACTCAAAGTTAAGACCACTTAGCTCTCTTTACCAACCTGACTCTACAATACTGGATAAGGACTCTATACTCAGAAGACCTAAAGGTACAGACATAGGAGAGCTTCCCAGCGGAAACAGCACAGCCACATCACCCTATGGTAAAATTTACAGTCGGCAAGTTCTACCCACATGCACAAAGCTTCCAATGACTTTCTAGAGCCCTACTCATGAATGATAGAAAGCCAAGGATCACCAAACAACTAAGGAAAGATTCTAATACGAATTCAAGGTCAAATCACAAATGGGAAAAAAGCATCATAGGAAACAGACTGTGAAGACAAAAGAAAAATGCTTTAACAAAACTCAATATAATCAGAATTAAGGGATGATATCACATGCATGTATGAAACAAGGTCAAGATACAGCCAAATAAAGACCAGAAAACCAAAAAAGAGGAGCACTGGGAAAAAAATATGATAGTAGAAATGAAAAACTCAATAGCAGAGGGTGAATGTAAAGTTGAGGAAATCTCCCAGGAAAAAAAGCAAAAAGCCAAAAAAATTAAAATTGGAGAAAAAATCTTCTATTCAGCCTTCTAAAAAAAACAACTTGAAGATGTGCTCTACCAAATGAAGAATCAAACCACAAAACATATGGAATCCAGAAAACAAGTTTTCCAACACAAAGAGAGGTAAAGAGAATCTCCTAGACGACAGTGAAGGGAAATCCTAAAATGACACTTTGCAGCAAGCCGAGGGAGCAACCAGGCCAAATTAGATCAAGTTGGAAGGTTCTTTGAAAAAATTCTTCCAGGAGATGAACCTGAAGGTATTGGGAGAAGAGTGATAATAAATTAGTAAAACTTTGCCAATTTTTAAAAATAAAATAAATCAATTAATTACAGGGAAAAGAAAAAAGTGTACAGAAAAGGGAAAACACAGTATGCCACAGAGTTCAGCCATAAATAACATCGAGAACATCACAATAAGGTAAACAATAAATAATAATTTTACTACTAATTTTACTGGGGGTGAGTGAGTGCAGGCAATGTGCTTGTGTGTGGGTGGGGGATAAATTGTGAAGGGGCCACACCTCCACAGTTCTATTAGGAAGACAATAGATCACACCTAAAAATGAAAGAGCAGCAAGTGGCATCATAAGTATGTTACTTAGAGATTGATGGTACTAAAACGTTTTTAAAAAATAAAAGTTACCTCTGAGCATCAGAAAAGTATTGGCAGATGGCAGTGTAAAGGTATATGTTCTATACTCTCCTTCCCGAAAACTCTATTAAAGCAAAAAAACATAAAAACCAGAAGAAGATAATCCCATCTTCCAATAAACAAAAAGACAGCTTTCAACCCCAAACTATCAAGTATGGAACACATATCTGCCAATACTGTATGAAAAGAGGACCAAAATAGAGGACAAGGAGGAAAGTAATTTCCCTAAAAGTAAACATTGTCCTGACAGGTCAATCTAATGACTCTTTGACATCAGTGAAACTCAGAGGGATAAGTAGACCATATGAGAATCAGAAGGTATTCCTATAGAATTAGTATTTATACAGAAAAATACTAAAACTTATTATAATTACCGGTATCAAGCTTTTACTGTTTTGCTATGTGTTGGCACTGTTCTGAGCACTGTGTATCAAATCATTTAATTTTCTCAACAAACCTTCTCAAATAGGTACTATTACTATTTTACAAGTCACCTAAAAAGAATAAGAGCCAGGTTTTAATACAGGCAATCAAACTGCAGAGTCTGAAATATTAACCACTATACTACATGGCCTCTTCAGTGGAAGAGAAGGGGACTAAAGGAAAAAACATAAAAACAGCCCACTTTCACCCTCCTAGTTTAGGGAGATTGCTAACAGAACTGGGTTCAATCCCTAGATTTCAACAGAAATAACTTATTATTTCCAAGGCATCACTAAGAGGCACACCAACCTCTCAATATCAAAAACTGAAGGGAGATGTTCTCTCGGAAGGAAGGTTTGATACTCTAAATTAGAAAATGAAGATGAAACAAAATTTCAGAGTACTCCAGCTTACTCTCCCAGCCATTCTCCACACCACAAATAGTTGACCCATTCAAAAATAAGAACCACAAATGAACCAACTCTGGGTTACAAATATCTTATTTACATAAAACTCAAAATTTAAGCCCCTTTTCTCTGTACCTCATTGGAATTATACACAGAACAATATTCTCTTTGCCCTAGGTGCTAATTGTTAAAAGTTTGGAAAATTTAACAAACAATTCCTAAAATTTGTATGGAACCACAAAAGATACTGAATAGCCAAAACAATCTTAAGAAAGAACAAAGCTGGAGGCATCACATGCCTGATTTCAAACTATAGTACAAAGCTATAGTAATAAAAACAGTATGGTACT